GTTGTAAGAAGTTACAGCACGGTAAAATACAGTTGTATAAAGTAACAACAGTGTAAAATACAGTTGTATAAAGTAACAACACGATAAAATACAGTTGTAAGAAGTAACAACACGATAAAATACAGTTGTAAGAAGTAACAACACTGTAAAATACAGTTGTAAGAAGTAACAACACGATAAAATACAGTTGTAAGAAGTAACAACACTGTAAAATACAGTTGTAAGAAGTAACAACACGGTAAAATACAGTTGTAAGAAGTAACAACACTGTAAAATAGTTAATAATAAATTGATAATAGTTATAATTATCTTACCTAATCTACTTCACAGCATAAAAATTGTTCTTACAAATCATGGTACAAACACCGTACACCATTACAATGTTCTTACAAATCATGATACAAACACTGTACACCATTACAATGTTCTTACAAATCATGATACAAACACTGTACACCATTACAATGTTCTTACAAATCACGGTACCAACACCGTACACCATTACAATGTCCTTACAAATCATGGTACAAACACCGTACACCATCATAATGTTCTTACAAATCATGATACAAACACCGTACACCATTACAATGTTCTTACAAATCATGGTACAAACACCGTATACCATTACAATGTTCTTATAAATCATGGTACAAACACCGTACACCATTACAATGTTCTTACAAATCATGGTATAAACACCGTACACCATTACAATGTTCTTACAAATCATGGTACAAACACCGTACACCATTACAATGTTCTTACAAATCATGGTACAAACACCGTATACCATTACAATGTTCTTATAAATCATAGTACAAACACCGTACACCATTACAATGTTTTTACAAATCATGATACAAACACCGTACACCATTACAATGTTCTTACAAATCATGATACAAACACCGTACACCATTACAATGTCCCAGTCGGACTGGCAAAAAGTGGAATAAGACCAAATGGTGTAGTCGTCATATTCTTGTTTTCCTTCATTAATAACGTCTTACAATTACCTCTGTGTATCATGTATTGGACATTTCTTGTAGCAGGTCTTGTCCAATGTTACAATAAACTTACATTTCTCGCTTGTAGTTTACTAGACGTACAGTTCTTTACAGTTCTAAACAGTTCTTTACTAGACAGCTCTTTACAGTTCTAAACAGTTCTTTACTAGACAGCTCTTTACAGTTCTAAACAGTTCTTTACTAGACAGCTCTTTACAGTTCTAAACAGTTCTTTACTAGACAGCTCTTTACAGTTCTAAACAGTTCTTTACTAGACAGCTCTTTACAGTTCTTTACTAGACAGCTCTTTACAGTTCTAAACAGTTCTTTACTAGACAGTTCTAAACAGTTCTTTACTAGACAGTTCTTTACAGTTCTAAACAGTTCTTTACTAGACAGTTCTTTACAGCTTATCTTTTCCTCATCAGGGAGATGTGTGGGTGGATGGATGGGTGGACAACCAGCATTGATGATCAAAGGAGTAGAACCAGAGTGTTATATTTATACATAACCGTAGTGATACTGTAGTCTACAGTAAGTACATGTGTTGTATTTATACATAACCGTAGTGATACTGTAGTCTACAGTAAGTACATGTGTTATATTTATACATAACCGTAGTGATACTGTAGTCTACAGTAAGTACATGTGTTATATTTATACATAACCGTAGTGATACTGTAGTCTACAGTAAACACATGTGTTATATTTATACATAACCGTACTGATACTATAGTCTACAGTAAACACATGTGTTATACTTATACATAACCGTAGTGATACTATAGTCTACAGTAAGTACAAGTGTTACATTA